GCTTTCTTTATAAGAATCCAAATCACCTCACAGTTGAAGGAAAGTGAGCCCCAGGCCCTGAAAGCTTGGCCAGATGGCTATGAATGGTTTCAGCAAAATGCTTGGAGCAACATCCAGCAGTAAGCAGTGAGGGTTTCTTGAGATGGAAGTGTAAGAATGTGGCACGTCTTTAATTTCACTTTGTTGTATAATTTAGGGAAAAGACTCAAGAAAGATATCCCTTGCTTATAAACTCTGGCAATTTTAATAGGGCAAATTTATTTCCATCAAACTCCATTTTTTTTCTCTTAATGAGGATGAAAATATTTCCTTCCAAAGAAAACATTTGACACCTTTCCATGTAGATATTTGGAGAGGAATAATAATAAAACAATAATCTATGGCTAGTTCTTTGAGCAATTGCCAATTACCTACAGGTGATTCAGCAACTCTTTCAACTTTATACCAAAGTATAATTTTAAACATATTTTAAACATGTCTTTTATGTTAAAGATATACTCAACTCATTAATGAGGGAAACAGCAGGATGTTAAAGCTGGTTCAAAGAGAATTTGCAAAACTGAGTATATCCAACTTATGAAAGAGTGATTACTGGAATAAATTTAGTTTAAAAATTTGTTCACTTCCTAACAACAGTAATCTACTGTTTAGATATAATTTTGCTTTTCCATCAGACAAGTTATCATATTGTTTCAAAGTTTATAAATTCTGCACAGTGGTAAGTAATCAAACAAATGTGATTTAGCTCAGTGGTTCCACTGCCTGTCTGCTAAGTGTAAGGACCTTAGTTCTAACCCCAGTACCAAAAAGAAAGAAAAATGAGAATTTTGAAAGGGCATTAAAAAAGCAAAACAAATCAAATATCCAATGATCAGTTGCATGTGCAAAAAACAAATCAGTCCATTAGAAACACATCTTTTTTTGGTTTGTTTTTGTTTTTGTGGTACTGGGGATTGAACTCAGGACCTTGCACTTGTGAGATGTATATTCTCCTATAAAATTAAATAATCTAATATGTTAGACAATATTCTTACGATCTTGAAAGGACATGTAGTCATTATTTTATCTTATTCCCAGGTTTTGAAATTATATTTTAATAGCCTTCTAGTTTTCAATTTTCAGAATTTCTTTCCAGTTCTTCTCCCCCTGCCTTTATCTCTGGAAAGATATTGGGCACTCACTCCCTTTTCCATGAGCCACTTAATGCCCAATTACATCTTCTGGACTTTTTCTTTTTTTTGCTTCTATTTCAAACCAATATTTGAGTTTCCCTTAGCTCTTATGCTAACAAAATCTTGACTTAAACTAACTTGGCTATGTACTCCAATAGCTTCTGTTTAGTATTAAAGATAGGTACTATTTGCTCTTCCCCTCTCAGTGTCCCTGTGTGGAATAAGGAAAGAAACTCTCAAGCAGAATTCTTCTGTACTTCTGAGATCTAAAGCAAGCAAACACAAAGTTGTAAAAACTCATTGAAGGGCTGGATCTTTCCTTTTGTCTACTCTAAAAGTAAGAAAGTTTCAATTAAGGCAAGTACTCACTAATCTGTGGTTTAAATTTTCTAACAAAATTTTCTTTGCAGTATCAAATGATCAAGAATCAACTTTGGAAAAAGTTATCACAATTTACTGTGTTGAGTTGGCATTGTACAGAAATGGACAGCCACATTGGTCTAGAAATGTTAGTTTTTTTATTTTTATTTTTTATTTTTTTTCCATTTGTACAAGGGTAACACACTGTATTAAATATGTAAGGTCATATCTATGTGGGTTTGATTACAGAAACTAATAAAGTATTCTCTAAATAATGAAAAAAAGAATAAGATAAGACTACAAGAGCAAGAAGCAATTTAAATATGTTAAGGGACCATTTTTATCTTCAGAATTAAGGATTATTTTAATCTTATGTCATTGCCTTTTCTCTTTTACTTTCCTTTTTAGTTTTATTTTAGGATTCCCTATTTTAAATGTCCATACAGAGATTTCTTTAAGTGAAATGCCGAATAGTTTCTCTGGTGTGAAAAACTATAATAGTACACAGGATCCTAAGGAGACAATTAATAATGTGAAATAGGAAGTAAAGGGCTAAAGGTGTAGGGAGTGGGAAGGTAAATAAAGTGTTTGTAAATGGGGAGGGGAGGAGGGGGTGAAGGGAGGGTAGGGACAAGGGGAAAAAATGAGAATCAAGACCTATCATGTAAAGGTACAGGATCCCAATAATGAATGTAACTGTATTATATACCTAGATTGTACCAATAAACTCAATTAAAAAAAAGAATCCTCCAAACCAGCATCTCAGGATTAATGAGAAATCAAATTTAAGGGGCCACTACTAAGGTGAAGTTGCATTTTGTTCTCTGTTCATGTAAGAGTAGGAATTATCTGGTGTATTCTAACGTGTCCTTGATCATCATCCTCCCCAAAGAATGTCCATATCTAATATCTATTATGCTTATTAACAAACTGCTGATTTCATCAACAGAACTGTTTGTAACTTCCATCTTTCTGACTGACAAACTTCTAATGTTAATCTGAGATGATTAATCTCTGCCTTGGAGATGCTGCCTCTGAAGCGTGATCTTCTAAATAAATGTCAGCTCACCACCCCTGGAGCACATCCCCAGTGAGGGAGACTGTTCTCTATTGGAGGTGTCACATTCATTTATGTTACACAGTCTAGGCTGCAAGAAGTTTAAAAATAAACCACAAGTCTACATCACAAGTTGTACTTGTCCTAGAAGTCTTAATGAAAATACCACAACGTCTGTGGTCCTTAGAAGTCAGAGGAGACACACGGTACTTACTGGGGTGGAAGTTTCCTGTCTCTAAGCTCAGGATGGTGAGCCAGTGACAAAACTTCTTTGGGAATACAGACCCCAGTCACTCTGGTCATGAGGAATGGAGTGAGGATGGTGCTGGAGATTCTGACTTCTCCCTGGAGGGTCTCCTCATTGTCTAACAACCTCTGTGGCCACAGTAACTAGAAAAATAGGAAATAAAATGAAGAATCCTGACTTGTTATAAAGAAAAAAAAAATACCTTTTTACATTGCTAATTTCTTTTGGGCTCTAGTGCCTGTCAGAGGTTCTAGAAAAAAATCAAAGACCAAAAGCAGTTCTACTTTAAATTCAATTGTATTTATGTCAGGTTTTATATTATGTTAAAAATTTAGCCTCTTTATAAGGAGGTCAAATCCCTAGTTGACTCAAAGTGAGCAAGGTGAGACAAAAACATGACCGTTTTTTTTTCTCCTTTGAATTATAGTTCTTGCTATATGCTCCCTCCCTCTCCTCTCTGCCACGAGAAATTTTCTCTCAGACAAAAGTGCAGAAAGATATTCTTGCTGCTAGGAGTAGTAAGATTCATGGTTTCCTTCAACAAAAGACTCTGGATTATTTTAGGCAGAAGAAACTGTCTGGAGTGGTTTGTTGGGAGTATGCATGTTGTACCCAGGCTGGAGCTTCTCTCTATTTATAACAATATAATTTCATTTGCTTTTAGAGATATGAATTTATGTCATCAGTCTAACTCAGAAATATATATAATGGGGAAGGTAGTTGCAGTCACTCCTGGTGAGCTACACTGCATATAGTTGAGTAGCAGAAGATAGAACTGGCAGTTCATTTTGACTCTTTCTCCAGAATTTAAGGAGATGCATTAGTTGCCAAAGCTCTCAAAATTTGAGGTAATAAAATTTTTAAATCCAAATTATAACAGGATCCATATGCAAGGACTTACCTCCTAGAAAAGTAGTTAAGTAAGTGTTCCAGTTTGAGCATCTTAGAATTTTTTTGTTTAGTTTTAGTGTCTTTTTAAACTCTTCTTCTTCTTCTTATTTATCATTATTGCAGTATCTAGTGATTCCATTCACTGTAGGGGCCTGGCGCAAGTACATGACACATTTCAGTTCCCTTCTGCCCCTCCCTTTCCTTCCTCCCCCTTTTTGTTTTTCCAGCATTAGATTTATTTATTTATAAGACTTTACAAAGATAATTATCATATACACAAAGTAAAAACCAGGATATAGGCCAAAGAATGTATAAAACATGTAAGACAATTGTACTAAGTCAAGGTACACTTTTAGATACATTGTCTGCACAGAATTACAATACCTTTGTGTTCTTTTTCTTTTTTCCTATTATCTGTTAGCTGTGTGGATGGTAGGATATAGTATCTAGTTTGTGCATTTTTACCTTATTGCAGGTTTCATATTATTTTATTTCACGTATTTTTATTTCCTAAGTTTTTTCTATTTAATTTTGTTTTATAGATTTTTACATATACAATAATTTTCTTGCAAACATCATAAGTACTCCTGCGTTTCTCTTCTAGTTTTATAAAATCATAATATGTTTGCCAAACTTACTGATTCTATTTTTTCCTTCTCTTTTCAGAGATAACCAATGAATCATGAATAATATGTTTTATTTCCATGCATGTCTTATACTTTAAAACATACTTTTACATCATGAATGCTGAATATTTCATGTGCAGGTTTTTAAATTTTATAACTACTGTATTGTTTTCTTTTGTATACTTTGCCATTCTTTGCTTCACCATTCTCTTAGGATGCTTCCAGTTCTCCAGTCATGAAAAACAATTCTGCAAAGAACATTCTTATCCATGGTTTCTAGAGGATTGCACCAAAATGCAATTGCTAAGTTTCTGGATACAAATATCTTTACGAGATGTTGTCAAACTGCGCTCTCAGGAGTAATGTTGGAATTCTTTATACAGTCTAGATACTAAAATACTGTCAGTTACATGCACAGCAAATACATATTTTCCAATCTTTGACTGGTCTCTTCCCTTTGTTCATAGAGGTTTTTTCATATAATTTTAATTTTCACATATTCAAAGTTATTACAATGTCCACTATGTTTTTTTTTCTTTCGTGTTAGTTCTGAAAATCCTTTTTATTTCACATTCTATTGCCTTCTAGTTCTTTTCTATGATCTCGAATTGCTCTATGTTCTGAAATTACAACCTGTTTTTTTTGTTTATTTAACAGAACATTTCACAAATTTGCCTGTCATCCTTGCCGGGTGCCATGCTACTCTTCCCTGTATCTTTCCCAATGAAGTGCATGTGCTGGTGAACTAAGCACCTTCTTGGTTTATTCCATGCGAATCTAAATGCAAGACTTAGCACCTCTGTAATGTATTTTCCTGCTCAAATTTATTAGTGACCAAAGGAGGTTTTATTGAAGATTGTGCAGCTATGGTAAAGGATTTCACATCTTCTACTCCACGTTATATAAATTAACTTCTCTTATTAGTTATTTGTCTTCTCCCTTTGTGAAATCTTGACCTGACCAGCACTTTCTCCACCAGAATTAGTCCGACTTTTCTTTCCCTTTGAGAAACAAATAAGTCCTTTCTTTGCTTCATGAAAAACTTTTCCACCTGTTTTATAAAGCATGAGGAACAGTTCACTTATAAATTAACAATTAACAAGTATATAAAAGTATCATCTCAATCACAGTGGGTCTTTCACTAAATTATCACAATAATTCCTTTGTTTTTTCAAGTAGAATTTATTGAGTAACAGCTAAGTGTCAAACATAGAAGTCATTAAGTGAACAAATCATATGCCAGGTGGAGAAAAGATAATCGGCGTCCTAGGAAAGAGCTTGGCATGCAGGAAGAACTCAAATCATGCTAATTATAAATAAGAGGAGATAGAAAATGAGATAAATGATAGCGAATGTAGGTAGAGGGCAGACCTGCTTGGTAAGGAAGGCTGACAATTTGATTTGTGGTACTAAAACATAGCATTGGCTGAGTATGGTAGACAAATTTGTCATACACAAGGCTTGAAAGAAACTAATTAAGAAGCTATGGCTGATGTCCAGGTGAAATGTGGTGATGCTGACAATTAGTTTTTTGATAGTAGAGATGGTAAGAAATATATCTTATATGAATAGGTGACAGGATTTGTGGAAGAGAAGCAGTCAGAGAGCAAAGGAAAAAATAGGAGCAATGATACTCAGTATTGTGATATGATAAAGAGTTAGACTACAAATTAACCCGGTGAAGACTACCCAGTAATGGGTGCAGGGTCGGGCAAAGCTGATGGCAGTCAAATTTGTAGGCAAATTGCTTTCAGTTGTCTGTGAGGCACAATAGCAGAGATTCAGAGTATTTCATTGTGCCTAGAGCTCAGAGAAAGGGTGAATTTGAGAATGTCAATTTGCAGCAAGGTAATTTTTTTCTCATTTCCTAGATAGCTACACAGATTAAAAAAGGAATGAAAGGGCATGTTTTAGTTATAGCCTAAAATTTAGATTCCAGTGACTAGCAACCATAAAAACATCCATGCATGAATACGGATTTTGGATAGATTATATCTCAGGAAGCTCAGGAAAGTCAAAAGATGCCTGTTCAGAAATCTTCCTGTATCTCTTGGGGTGTGTTTTTCTCAGAATTTTCTGAATTAAGAGTTAGAAAGCACTAATATACTTTGAAATGAATGAGGTTGACTGCACACTTTAAAGGAGAAATTGGGTTATGTCATGAGATGTTTGTTGAGAAATTTGTACCACAATATGTGTTTGTTGATGAACAGCAAAATATGACCATGTCAGAGCAACATTAACAGTCCTAGAATGTTTACTTGAATTTCTACTGATATTCCTATGCTAATGTTTGCCATTTCTGTGTAGTTGGTAATGAATTTGGCTTGGCAGTAGATTGTGCTCACTTTTTCTTTTTGCTGGTAGAATGAGTGCTTGAGCTCTTGACTTTTTAAAAATTAACATTTCCAGACTTTACTAAATTATGTTCAAGGCTCTCTGGCTCAATTTTCTGAGCCTTGCATGGATGTATCTTCAACTTGTACTTTATGCTTCTTCTCAGTTTTTAGTCCACTTGTATTTACCTTTGGCTATAACTTGCAGGTAGTCTTAGGTTCAGTCATCCAATCTTATTGATGACAAGTATGGCTACTATTCTAGCAATATTGGATTCTTACTTGAAACCAGCTGCTCTAGCTCCCATGAGAATTGCCAGACAACTGGTCATCATTCCTGAATGCAACTTTATAGTCTGGAAAAAATGCATTGGTCATTACCTCCATACACTGTAAGAAAGAATGGAAAAACTGTCATAATAGAGTAAAAAACAACACCAACACGCTGTATCACCTCCAAATAATGACCATGTGACATAGTTTTACAATATCTCCATATTGAAATGAATGAAAACTAACAAATAAACAAGAAGTAGATCAGTAGGACAAAAAAATGACAGAGAAATAATTGAATACTTTAAACTTCCTAAAGTGGTAGCCCAGAAAAGAACCAAAACATGGTAGCATTGGTATGTCTCCAAAATTCAAGAGGCAATATTGATGAGTATATTATTTATGGAACAGCACTCCATAAAAAATCAGGAGACAGCAGAGAGGCAGGACTCCTAATACTGACTAAGTCTAGCTCACCTCTTCCTTCTCTTTCAGCCCCTCCACTTAAGTTTACCATATTCACTAAAACAAAACAAAACAAAACAAAATGCAAGAAAAATTAGCTAGGACATACAGTAAATGCTCAGGCTTTTTTTAGGAGTTTAGAGAAGATAATAACAGATCTCAATAGAAAGGAAATCAAGAGTAACTCATTCACTCTTGCTAACAGATCAAATATATCTACTGGGTAATTGTTCTTGGTAACCCTGAGATGAAGAAAAAAAAATTCGACCCTAGATAATAAGAATAAAAACACAGGAGGAAAAGACAACCAACCTAGAGAAAACTGTAAGCTGGGGAATGAAAGAGAATTCCATACACATGCTTTGTGTTAGAAGAATATAATAGGATTGAGGATTCAATTAAACAGAAAAGAACTAAAACATGAAGTCACAAGGAATAAAGGAATATCTAAAAGAGTGAGAACTCCTAGGTGATGACAGTCCCTTAACGGCAGTCCCATAGGCACAGAGCAGAAGAGTAGACCTGACAGGAAGCAAGACTGTAATCATTGAAGGAACCTATGAATAGATGAAACTCATTCCAGAGAATCTGAGCATTTCCTAAGACCCAAGCACAAAAATAAGGCCTGCTTGCTAGTAGGAAGTGAAACCAAGGGCTGGGAACAGAACTCTTCTCAGCCCCTGTGGTTGTAAAACTTCCCAGTCTGGCTCTGCAGATTCTTCACAGGTTACTCAATCACGGGGAAGCTCATGTTTCCAGCCAGCAACAAACATACTTATAAGCTGGCTGGTAATCATAGCTCCCGATTCTCGGGAAAACAAAATCTGGTCGCCCAGCTTTTGTTATGTTCAATCACCTTGGGTTCAGTCAGCTATGAAAGGAGAATACAATTGCAAAGTACAACTCGTTCACAGTTACTGAGTGTGAACTGGCCGTCAGCCACTGGGTTGAGGGCTTTACCTGAGTTATGCAAACAGTCTTCACTTGAGAGAGGATGCACTATCATCTTTTAAATGGATGATTAACCTGAAGCTCGGAGGATGTGAGTTACTTGCTCAGTGTAGCACAGGTAATGGTTTCAAATCCAGGTGACTGGCTCCAAACTCTGTCCTCAACCTTTGTGCTATATGGTCATGATCCGCTGGAGCCAATCACTGTACCAAAGAGCAGAGGTCAATGTATTATAGATTGTACAGATCCCCAGAAAATGAGCACTGTATTCCAAAAATTTCTTCAGGATAGATTCTTAAAAGTGTTCATGGGTCAGCGGTTCTCTTGCCCAGTTTTTCTGCAGTTTTTCTGCAGAGTTACTCTCGTCTCTGTTCCATATGAAGTTTATAGAGGTACTTCTTTCATCACATTATTGCCAACATTGACTACTTAACATTTATTTCATCTTCCCAACTGTGGGGGAGGTAGATTATGGAGAATTTATTCAGAGTGAGGTTTGGGGAAATCCTCACAGAGGAGAAGGGTTGGATATCTGTGGATGAGGACACAATGAAGGCAAAGCAGAAGAGCCTTGGAAAGCCATGGGTTCGTGGGAGAAGCTTGGGCTGTTGTAGATGTCTTGAAAATAGTGTAGAGAGCTGTATTGAGAAACGACGCTAGTGAAAACTAGGATGGAGTATAGTGATCTTACATGAACAGTTTAGAGATGAAAGGTGATAGTAGTCTTTAAAAAAATAGCCCCCAATTAATCTTTGTGTGAGATATGTCTATGACAGACACATTTTATGTGCACACATTGATACTGTCTTTCATCACTAACTCTCCTCCATTCAGTTTTTTTCAAACAACTATTTGCTTAAAAATGCTGATGGGGTTCACACAGGATTGCTTGTGTTAGGGTAAAATGAATCCCTAATGGGATGACAGGTGTGAGTTTTTCAGCTTTGAAATGTATCCACTAGCCACATTTGCATTCTATGAGAAATCTATGCTAATATAGCATTCACACTCAGAGGAAAAGTTTAAATTGCAAATTCTAAAAAGCTTTAAGTCAGTAAATGATATTTTTGGAAGCGGGTGGTGGTGCCCAAACAATATAGTGTGGAAGGTAAGTGGAAAGGATGCATTTGCCAGGTGTGAACTCTCTTGGAGCTGAAATCACCTGCGAAGGCTGGGACTGGCAATTTACGTTGCTCCTCTCTGACAAAAGATGAAAACATCAGAGTGCATTGCAATCACCTGGGAAACTTTTTAAATTGGTTGGTTGGAGAGCTTCTGGATCAAGATGGTTGGGGTCAGGCCCAAGAGTTTGCATACCTAAAAATTTCTGAGGTACTGCCTATCCTATGGGACTATACTTTGAGCACCACTGCGCTGAGAAAGTCCTAATAATGTACTTGTTCGACAAAGATGGTGGCAGAAAATAACTAAATCAAAACTAAAGATTCTGACAGATGAAACGAAGTCTGACTAATGTTTCTCTGTATCTCTGAAAGGTTGTCTATTTCTTGGAAGGATGTGGTAGAAGAAAAGGGAAAGGACAAGAAGTAGGTGCTGATATTTTTCTTACCCTCCTAGGGATCAACTGTGGTTCCTGAATCCTTCCTATTATAAGCCATCAGTTTGGAAGGAGAGAAATGCAAATCTCCCAGGCTGCTGCAGCCACTGCTGAGAGCAGCATCTTAAAGCCAGTTTTCCCTGGTGGTTTCTGAGCCAGCCAGCTGCTCC